CACGTGTGTTCCTGGTTGGTGCTGTATGTGTTGTGTGGTACACGTGTGTTCCTGGTTGGTGCTGTATGTGTTGTGTGGTACACGTGTGTTCCTGGCGTGCTTGCTTGTGAGGGTGCAGCGGGGAGGCTAGAGGTTGGTGTTGGGATGTCTTCCTCAGTCATTTCTCTGATCTTTTTGAGACAGGGTTTATCACTGACCTGGAGCTCCTGCTTTCTGCTAGACTGGCAGGCTAGTGACCCCTCAGGATGCTCCTGTCTCCTGTCTCTGTGTCCTTAGTGTGTGTGTGACAGGTGTGTGCCGTGCCTGGCTGTTACCTGGGCAGTGGGGACCTGACCTCAGGATCTGACCTGGTGTTCAGCACAGTGATCACCTTACTCCCTGAGCTGCCTCCCCAGTGCCTGCTTTGTGTGGTTCTTTGAGACGAGGCTTCACTGTGCAGTATCCCCTGCCTCTGCCGTCTTCCGGCCTCAACCTCCTGAGCTGGGATTGTAGAGCTATTCCATCACGCCTGGCTAGCAATTAAATCTTGCAACCAACTGGCCCAGGCTGGCTTCAAACCTGTCTTCCTAACTTCTCACCACTCAGGGAGCTTGCCTCTCCCTCAGGGATCTAAGGACAGCAATAGATCTAACCTCTGGTGTACAGTAAATGGGCACAATGCCCCTGAGCAGACCCAGCAATAGCCACTGAGTTCCCGAACCCGGGGAATTTAACTGTACTATGCATATTCCAGTTTTCCTACAGGAGTTGGGAGTTGGCTGTAAAATTAAAAACAAAGAATTCCCGTCACCTCGACAGTGGACTGCTGCTTGCCTCGCTGTGCCGCGCCATTGACTTTCCGCGGTCCACTTCTTCAGTGGAACTGGAAGCTGGCACAGCAGGATTGTTTTGTTCCAAAAGAGTTGAGTTTATCCAGACCAAGACATCAGGTCTCGGCAGCTTTGAGTGTCGCTGGCAGTGAGCACTAGTGTGACTTGGCCAACTGGGAGCATTTCAGGCCTCAGTAGGGGCCCCACAGTGCCGCTCACCCCTCGGCTTTAATGGTAGGTGGGGCTTTGAGGTTGGTGGCCACAGGGGAAAAGTGTCTTTTGACCAGGAGGTCTTTAGGACTCTCTGACCTTCCACTGATGCTAGAGAGTGAGTGAACACTTGCAGAGATGAAGGCAAAGGGAGTCCACGCATCTGAGCACAGGAACC